AGAACTCAGATCTGAAGTCCCACTTAGAAAACAAGTCAAAAGACTTCTCTCTAACCAAAGAGGGTTCATTGCAGGAATGCTCGCCTGTTCAACATAAAGCTTCACCAAGTACAGCAACAGATCAGCAAAAATCACAGATGCCAAGAAGATGCTTGAGAAGTTCAGCTTTACACACACCTGATTAAAAATGCCCTTCCCACGTCAAGGAAGGGACGATGATGACTCCTTCAAAATGCTAAAGAACAACCATCTCTTTAGTGAAGAAATGTCGCAAATATGTCCTCAAAAGTTAGTAGTAATGAAGATTGAAGGAGATAGATAGGGGATTAATATAAAAAATTTTTATATTGCTTGCAAATGGCATGATTCCAAAGTATGAGGAAATCCGTAAAAAAATGTTGTCAATCAGGAGTTTGTAAAATCTAGCTAAGGAAAATTCTGGAATGCTAGCTATAGAAGATCACAAGCAGTGGGAGGCAACACCTGTTCCCATCTAAAGAGACAAGCCATGAAGGCAGAAACCTTTCCATCTGACATATATTATACATTTAATATTACCAAGGATTCAGCAAGAGTATACTGAACTCTGTAAGTCAATCTGGTCATTTTTAAGTGTAGGGGTGGGATAGACAGAAGAAGACAAAAGGCATCTTATGCTTCAAAACATTCACCACACCAACAAGCATCTAGTCTGTACGGTGCCCTAAGGAGGCTCTAAGGATGCAGGTTGGGGATTCGAACCTGCAAGGGATCTTAAGCTGAGGAGGCTTCTCCGCCCATCAGGGGAAGCCACAGCGGACCTGATGCCTGCACCTGCGTGGGTCAGCGCTGCCTCAGGGAAGCGCCCTCATTGGCTTCTATCAGGGCTGAAGGACAAGGAATCCTCCAGGGTCACACAGAGCTGACCCCAAACTAGAACTTTTGGCCAAAGATGGTGGCTTGAGCCTTCCAGGTCCTGCCCTTTGGACTGCAGCCCCTTTCTTCCTCAGCTGCCATCTACCCGGGCACCCTGGTCTGGAGATACTGAGGAAGTCACTGGTGGATGGAGAAAGGTTTGGCAGCTATGGGAGCGCGCTGATCCTGCACCTTT